CTGCTCCCAGTCTCTCCAGTAGCCCCCACAACCCCAATGGCCCCAGTACTGCTTATACTGGTCCCAGTGACCCGGTACCTACTCAAGACGCGCTCCCGGTACCCGCCGGACGCCGCTCGCAGCCCCACTCCCGGCGCAGGCAACGGTGGCCGCGCGCTGTGCCCGGGGGGCGGAGCAGAGCCAGCCCGGCGTCGGGGGTGGGGGACGACGACGACGGACGACACCGGGACAGCCCCGCCCCGTCCGTCCGCCTGTCCCATCCCGGCCCGGCTCGGCATGGAGGAGCGGGCGCTGCCGCTGCCACTGCCGGTGCGGGCAGCGGAGGCGCTGCCGCTGCGGGCGCGGCTGAGCTTCGCGGCCGGGCACTTCCAGAATGACGCCTGCGCCGCGCTGTGGTTCACGTACCTGCTGCTGTTCCTGCACAGCGCGCTCGGCTTCGGGCACCGCGCCGCGGGCGCGCTGCTGCTGGCGGGGCAGCTCGCGGACGGGCTCTGCACGCCGCTGCTCGGCTACGAGACAGACCGCTCCGCCGGCTGCGGCCGCTACGGCAGGAGGAAGTCCTGGCACCTCGCCGGTGGGTGCCGGGGCGCGCTGGGGGTGCCCCGCCGGGGATGCGCTGGGTGGAGATGGGTGGCCCTAGGGAGCATTTTGGGATCAGCCCTGGAGGTGCCTTTCTGGGGTGCGCTGGGGGGTCGGAACTGAAGGTGCCTATCCAGGGTGCTCTGATTGGAGGTGGGTGGCCGCAGGGGAGCTTTTCTGGGTGCAGAAACATCGGGTGCCTTTTGGGGTGTCCTGATTGGAGATGGGTGGCCCTAGGAACCTTTCTGGGTTGCCCTGGGTGGAAATGGGCACCCTTGGGGAACATTTCTTGGGTGGGGGAACTGAGGGTGAGATCGGTGGCCCCAGGGGAGCTTTTCTGGGGCGTCCTGGGTGGGGGACATCGGGGAGCCTTTCTGGGATGCTCTGAGTGCAGATGGGTGGCCCCAGGGAGATTTTCTGGGGTGACCCTGGGTTGGGGAACAGAAGAGGCCCATCCAGGGTGCCTTGTGTGGAGATGATGGCCCAGGGGGAGCCTTTCTGGGGTGCACGATCAGCCTCTGTTACCTTTCTGGGGTGCCTGGTGAGAGGGGCAGACATCAAAGGTGCTCTTTAGAGATGCTGAGTGGAGAGGGATCCCTCAGGCACAGCTGGGGAAGGGACACTGTGGTGTCCCCATCCTGCCTGTGGGCACCATCCCCATCCCAGTAGGCTGTGACACAGTGGCTGGTGCTGCCCTGGGCTTCCACTGTCCCTCAGGCCATGCACTGAGTGTCCCTGTGCCCCCACGTGTGGGTGTCACTGAGTCAGGGTCAGAGCTTTGTGCTCAGTGAGTCGATTCTGTGGCAGTAACAAGACTGTTAACATCTGGGCTTCCCTATGAGCCCGAGGGTTCATCAGGGCCTTGCCTGTGGCCTGGCACCGCTGGGTTGTCCCTGTGGGTGGCCCTGGGGCCCTTGTCTGCACTGGGGAAGGCAACCAGCACATGGGGAGAGAGAGCCCTGTGGGAACACAGAGGAGTCACCAGTGGCTTGGTGTTGAGTTATTGACATCCTGCACCATGCCTTGGGGTCAAACAAACTGCGAGGAGGTGCAGGGGCTCATCGGGACGCTCGTGGTGGGGTCACTGTGACCTGGAGTAGGGTCCTTGGTATGCAGGAGCCTGCTCCAGCCCTGCAGAGCAGTTGTTGGGTAGCTGGCTTGAAGAAACATACATCCACAGGCAGAGATAAACCCCCTTAATGGTAACACCAGAGTGGATGCACACAGAGAGGACAGTTGTAGCATGGGGTGGTCTTATCTTAATCCCAGACTTATCTCAGCCAACCACTCTGTGCAGCCCAGTGATAGCCCGATAAGGTGCCTGATGTCCCCGGGGTACTGCTGGGTGAGTCAGGGAGGGTGTTGAAGCTTCACCTCTGCCAGGGCTCAGCTCAGAGCTGTCCCCTAGATTTAGGGAAGTGGCTGATGTTGTGCTTGCCCCCTCCCCGGGCAGCTCCGCTTCTTGCTGCTCCCAAAGGGAAGTCCTGGATCACCCTTCCCAGCTCCAGCAGCATGGCTGGAGGCTGCTTCCCTGGCCAGAGCAGGGGTTGTTGTCCCCAGAAGTGGGGTGATGGCAGTGAGGTCCAGCAGACCTGGAGCAGTGCTGCACTCCTCACACTGTGGCAGAGATGCTCCGTGTGGGAGTGCCCTGGCAACCCGCACTCCCAGCAGAGGAAACTTGTGAAACCACAGCCCGGGGGGTGGTTGTGGCGCAGACACCACGAGTTGCTATCGGTGGCATCTCCCCAACGCGGCACTGGGCTCCCGGTGCTGGTGGTGCTGATGGCTCAGCACCACACCGGCTCTTCCTGGGGGACAGTTTCCAGCCATAGCAGTCTGGGAAGGACGAATGTCTTTGCTGCCTCTCTAAGCCAGTCTGGTGGTGCTGTTCCAGATTCCCTGCCCAGGGAAGCCTGGTATTCCTGTGATCCTGCTTCTTTCAGTCCTCCCCCACAGGGCTGGTTGCTGGAAGCGGGGGCCAGGGGTGGGAAAAGGGGGTGCTTTGGGGGCTCCCATGGCCTGCCTTGGGCAGTGTGGGCTCCTCAGCATCCCTTTGGCTCTTGGCAAAGCCGTGTTCACTTGGGTAGATCCAGGGTATGTGGGTGCAGATGCATGGCAGTGGAGCCCAGCTCCATGTGGGTGGCCCTGGTGTTTGATGGTGGTGATGGGCCAGGGGTGGACATGGAGGCTGGAGCAGCCTGGGTGTGCAGCTGCTGCCCCAGCGTTCCCCTAGGGATGTCCTTAGGGGATGCAGAGCTCGATCCTTGCAGGGCTTGGTTCAAAAGGAGCCAAGGAGGTCTGGTGCAGTTGGAACCCTCTCAGACCCTTCCTGTCCCAGGGGTTCTCTGGGGCAGACACCGTGGTGTGGCCAAGTCCTCTGTGCCTCTGGGAGCTCCTGGAGCGCCAGAGCTGGGTGTGAGCTCTGGAGCAGTGCAGCAGATGTGCTCTGTAACCTTGTAGAAGAGGAAGGAGAAGCCATCCTGTCCCTGCCTGCTCCACGCAGGCGTCCCCCCGCCGTCACGCTGCTGCTGAGGGAGGAGCTTGGCTCCGCGGCCCCTGGCTAAGCTGGAACCGTCTGTGGTGGCTAAGAGCCATGGGTCACATCTGCTCCTGCCCTCCCAGTGCTGCCCGGAGGTGTCCCTGGTGCTGCGGGGCCTTGGTGTGAGTGTGGGGGGAGACCCCCGGGAGCAGGGAAGGGGGAACCCAGAGCCTTGCAGCCCCTTGGGGTGGCCCTGGCTCTGGTTATCGTGTGCGGAAGGTGAGAGAAGCTCCTGGTGCCTGCAAGGTGTGACCGTGTGTGAGGGTCTTGTCCTCTGGACAGAGCGGATGGGAGGTGGCTGAAGCACACTGTCAGAGGTGCTGGCTCGCTCTGTTTCTGTGTCTGAGCTGGCTGCGGCTGTTGGTGTCCCAAGGAAACAGGGCTTGCAGCCTCTCACTGCTCTGCTCTCTTCCCAGGCACCACATGCGTCCTTGTGTCCTTCCCCTTCATCTTCAACCCCTGCCTGGCCTGCAAGGAGAACACGCCACAGTGGGCAGCCTTCATCTACTACCTCCCCTTCATCATCATCTTCCAGTTTGGCTGGGCAGCCACACAGGTCTCCCACCTCTCCCTCATCCCTGAGCTGGTGACCAGTGACCATGAGAAGGTGGAGCTCACAGCTTTCCGGTGAGCACAGCTTTCGCCTCTGCTATGTCCCTTTGCATGGTGAGAGGTCCCCGGGTGCCATGGCACATGTGAGCCCTTGGTACGGCAGGACCAAGACTGGGCCATGTGGGTGTCCTGCAGAATGTGTCCAAGTGGCTCTGGTGCTCTGGGTTGGTGGCCCAAACCCTTTGCTGCCAGGAATGTTTTGGTGGCAGAGGTGTTGGAATGCTTCCTTGGGGGCACTTTTCCTTTGGCACTGGAGGGTGATACTCACAAGAACAGACACCCCCAGATGCCCCTGGCCTTGCACAAGCTGTGCCATAGTTAGGTATGGCCTCAGGGCCAGGCTGGGCATCATGTGCAGCTCTGTGCACAGAGCCGGCTCAGTGCTGCTTATCCAGAGGAATCTGGACAGGCTTGAGAGGTGGGACTGTGTGAACATCATGAAGTTCATTCACTCAAATGATTCTGTGATCTGTCAGGATCAGGCTGAGGGTTTATCAGATGGAGCAGGGGTGGGAGGAAGTCCCTTCTAGCAAGTGAGTGGGGACCAGCTGCAGTGCAGTGGGGCAGGGAGGATGTGGGGCAGTGCTGGGGTAACTGGGCTCCAGATCTGGGGGCACTGGTTCAGGTACCTTGGGGCGCCCTTGTGGCAGAGGTGAGCTGCGACTGGAGAGTGAGCAGGGTGGCTCAGAGGGATCATAGACTCACAGCTTGGTTTGAATTGGAAGAGACCTTAAAGCTCATCCAGCTCCAAGCCCCTGCCATGGGCAGGGACACCCTCCAGTAGAGCAGGTCCTGTCTCCCCTCAGGTATGCCTTCACCGTCATGGCCAATATCACTGTGTACGGCCTGGCCTGGCTCCTGCTGAACTTCCAGGTGGACCAGCCTGAACGCATAGAGCACTTAGGCCCCCAGGATATCCCTATATTCCGGGTAAGTGGCCTTGGAGTGCCCTCTTCCCTGGGTGGGACATGGCTGAAATGGGGAGGTACCAGTGGGAGTGAAATAGCAGCACCCTGAAACGTCACCCACTGCATGGGGCAGGGGTTGCACTGAGCTTCCCAGGGCTTTTGAGAACCTCTTTCTCCACCAGCTGGGGGTGGCTGATGGACAGGCAAAGGGCAGCCCCTGCCATGCTCACCCCCTCTGCCTCACCCAGAACCTGTCCCTCATTGTGGTGGGACTGGGGGCTGTGTTCTCCCTCATCTTCCACCTGGGCACCAAAGAGAAGCCGTACCCATGGGGCTCATCAGCCCAGCCAGAGGAGAGCACTCCCCTACTTCAGAAGGAGCCGAGCCCTCTGCGTCCGCTGCTGATCTGGAGGGACTGGCTGTGGGAACCTGCCTTCTATCAGGTACCTTCTGGGGGTTGGGAGTCCTCTGGCAGTGAGACGTCCTGTGGGGATAGAAAGATGAGAAAGAAACCTGGAGAGGGGCTTTGGACAAGGGCCTGTAGGGACAGGCCAAGGGGAATGGCTTTAACCTGCCAGAGGGGAGACTGAGATGAGCTCTTAGGCAGAAGCTCTCCCCTGTGAGGGTGCTGAGGCGCTGGCACAGGGTGCCCAGAGAAGCTGTGGTTGCCCCATCCCTGGCAGTGCTCAAGGCCAGGTTGGACACAGGGGCTTGGAGCAAGCTGCTCTAGTGGAAGGTGTCCCTGCCCGTGGCAGGGGTTGGAACTGGAGGAGGTCTAAGGTCCTTTCCAGCTCAAACCACTCTTTACTCTATGGGTGGTACTGGGCACCCACTACCACATCAGGGGCTGTCCCCTTCTCAGAGGACATCTGTGCCATGGCAGGGCTGGGCACAGGAGGTGCCAAGCCTCCTGTTTGCACGGGCTGAGCAGTGCTGCCCTGTCTGTCCCTCACAGGTCGCGGTGCTCTACATGTCCACCCGGCTCATCGTCAACCTCTCCCAGGCCTACATTGCCATGTACCTGACCAACTCGCTGATGCTGCCCAAGGTGGGCACTGGGCAGGTCCCTGCTCCTGTGTCAAGGTGCCGTGGGCAGGGGTCCTGTGCTGATGATGTGGAGCTTATCTCCTCCCTGTCCTCATTTCTTGCAGAAATATATCGCCACCATCCCCCTGGTGATGTATGTCAGTGGCTTCCTCTCCTCCTTCCTCATGAAGCCTGTGAATAAGTGGTTGGGTCGAAATGTGAGTCCTGGGGGCCTGGTGAGGCTTGAGTTTGACCAAAGGGAAAGGCCCATGGGCCAGATCCTGACCACACAAGTGTGCAGAGCACTTGGCACACCTCAGCCTGGCTGGAGAGCAGGAACCCCTCATGTATCTTTTGCCAATGATGCTCTGCTGCAGCATGGAGTAGCGGGCGGGGGGTGGGGGGGCATGGGTCTATCCTGTGCACTCTGGTCCGCAGTCACCTGTGGTCAGCCCCGTGGTGCCCGTGAGAGGCAGAGGGAGGGTTTGGCTGAACCACCCTGGGTAGGGATGGGGACACCCTGCTCCGTGCTGCAGCAGGCGCTGCTCCCCAGTACTCCACCTCTCCTGGTGACTGGGTGTCCCAGTGCCAGGCCCCACACCTGCAGCGCTGCGGGGCTTGGGCTGTAGAACACTCTGGAGCACCACAAGGCTCTTGCTGCCTGGAGGCTCCTTGCTTAGAACCAGCTGGAAAGGAGCCAGGGCTATCCCCTGGGTACCCATGTCCTCCCTGCTCCCCATGGCCGTGCTGGTGCGCGCTGGGCCGGGAGCTGAGCTCTCCCCTCTCCTTCTGCCTCTGCCCATGCTGGCCGGAGCAGCTGACCTACTTCGTGGGCATCCTGGTGATCCTCACCTTCGCCTCCTGGGTGACCCTGGTCAAGCAGATGGGAGCAGAGATCTACGGGGCGGCCGTGCTGCTTGGGGCTGGCTCTGCCACCATCCTGGTCACCTCCCTCTCCATGACCGCAGACCTCATCGGCACCAACACGGTACCTGCGCTTCTCCCGGCCGGCACGGACCCGGGGGATGGAGACCCCTGCCAGGGCGCTAAGGACGGGCTCTGCTGCAATACGAGCTGTGCCCATGAGAGGGCACAAGGCTCTCGCTGCGTTGTGCGGGGCCCATGAGCTTTCCTCTCCCGTTGCAGCACAGCAGCGCGTTCGTCTACGGCGCCATGAGCTTCACGGACAAGATGGCCAACGGCCTGGCCGTGATGGCTATCCAGAACCTGCACCCGTGCCCGTGAGTGTCCCTCACAGTGACGGCTCCAGCCGCATCGCCTGCATGCCAGGCAGCAAACACCCCTGCCTTGGAGCAAGGGACATGGGTGGAAACCTGCTCTGATTTGTCATAAATACCCCCCAACTTCTCCAGCCCCAGATGAGGGCTGCATCTCCAGACACACAAAGAGGGTGGGGATCTCAGTGGGGTACAGCCCCTTCTCCTTGCCTTGGACCTTTCCTTCACCTCCTAGTCCTAACACTGAGGACATGGGCCTGCTGTCAGGGCACTTTGATCAGCACTGGTCCAGCCCCTGCTCCTGCCTATGAGCCATATCCTTGCCCTGTCCCTGCAGGTCCGAGCTCTGCTGCTCTGAGTGTGCCAGCTTCTACCACTGGGTGATGGTGGGGGTCACCGGAGGTGTTGCCGTCGCCGCCATTGCCTCTCTCTGCTGCATCATGGTGTGGCCAATCCACATCCGCTACCGTGAGTGGGGCTGGGGGCTCCGGTAGTGCCATGTCCTGTGCCAGCCTAGGATGAAGTGTCCTTCCCGATGGGAAGCAGTGGGAGCCTGGCCCTGTGGCAAAGCTGGTGGTGGCCTTGCCGCATATGACTGCCATTGGGCAGGCAGGACCACCATCCTGCGCCCTGGCACTGGGAGCTGTCCCTGCTGTGTTTTGCCCTCCTGGAGGGCAGGACCCAGCACTGCCCGCTGGCCCCCTCAGGCCATCACTGAGGGGTGGTGGCGGTCATACGTGGGGTCAGAAGTGCCCCTTGCCAGGCTGGAGATGCCCACACCAGCACTCGGTGCTTCTATGACCTGCATCTTGCTGCGGGAGGGGGGAGAGCGTGAACCTCCCTGCACTGCCTTGGGAAGCAGCAGCGGCTCCTGACTTGTCCCCTCGCTCCCAATCATGCAGATGCCGTCTGCCTGCGGGGGCTGAGCAGAGCGGGGACCTCCTGCAGCGGGACTGAGAGCGCAGAGGGCGGGGGCCGCACCACCAGCATCAACTGAACCAGGGCCGTGTCCTGCACCGTGAGCTCTGCTGAGGCGACCCCGCTGCGACGGGGGCTGAGCCCCTCGGGGAGGGGGGGGTGACCCCGGCCCCGCCTCGTGTCCCCTGCACTGGACTTGTGGGTACCCCCCGCTCGGCCGGGCGCTCCCGGAGCAGCCGCCAGTGCTGGCACCGCCCTGGGGCGCGCTGCGGGGGGGCAGCGCTATGGTATAACCCCTGTGTGAGGGCAGTCCGGACACGGCCCCTGGGAGAGGAGTTAAAACCCACAAACACAGCCGAGCGCCCTGACCGTCACTGCGCGCCCGGGGCAGGACCTGCGGGGTGCCCCGCGCCCCCAGCATTGGCCTCCCGCGAGGGGGGGTCACCGGCACCGCAAGATGGCCGCCCTCAACAGCCATGGCGGCAGCGCCCGCAAACAAAATGGCTGCCGAGGAGGAGCGCTGGAGCGTGATGATTGGGTGCTGCGCGGATGTTCCGCCCCCCGGGATAGCCAATGAGGGTCTCCTCTGCAGCCGAGTGGAGCTCGGGGCAGAGGCGGCGGGGGAGGGGGCGGGGCCGGGCTGCCTGGACCCTCACGGGTCACGTGTGTGCGGCGGGTCCGGGCAGGCACAGCGTGTGTGTGCGCATGCGTGCGCGCGGGCTGGGCGGGAGGTCCTGGCTGCGCCCCAACATGCCATGGAGGCGGCGCGAGGCCGGAGTTGCGGGCCGGCGTCACCGTGTGGTGGTTGGCGGTCTGGAGGAGCGCTCCCTTGCAGTCCCCCAAGCTCATCGCGGGCTTGCTGCTGCCCAAGACGGGTCCCTGGGGATGGTGGGGTCCCACCAGAAAGCCCTTGAGGTCCGTCAACCTCCGCCTGCTCTGGTTGAGGGGCTCCCCAGGGAGGGTGGAAACTGAACCCCCAAGAGCTCCTCACCGCAGATGCGCCAGCTCCGCCCAGACCTGAGGCACAGGCTTCCACTCCCCCTCCATGGGGCAGACCCGTGGCTGGTGTCCAGGGAGTACTGGGGGTTCTCAGCCTCTTCATCATCACTCCTGACCAGCTCTGCCCTGCAGCAGATCAGTCTTCCAGGCGAGGGCCTGCTTGAGCACGGGAGCAGGTTTTGTGTCCCCACCAGCAGCATGTCAGGGCTCAGGCAGGGGGCACTCATGGGCCTGTCCCCACCACTTGGGGGGTGCCCTTGGAGGCACTGGGATGTGAGGAGGCTCGAAGGAGGGGGCAAGACCCCAACTGGTGGGACTGAGCAAGCAGAAGAGCTGCCCCATCTCCCCCCAGCCAGATTCCCACTGCTTCCCCCCCCCCTTCCTTCTCCTCCAGCCACAGCCAAAGCCCTTGCTCCCCTAACCTCATCCTGGAAAAGCAGAAGCAGAGCCACCCTGAGCCATAAATCCACACCTTGTTTAATGCCAGTTAGATTGTTTTACACAGACAAGTCACAACGTGCTTGCTGTGGGGTTTGTCCCCACCTTATATATAACAATGCCCCATGGCCAAGACTTTACAACCCAGACTCGGGGAGGCCCTTCTGCTCTGCCCTCTGCCTGTGCTCACATAGAACACACATAGCAGCATCGAACCCCCAGGGAGCACCTCTGGGAACACCACTGCTGGGAAGGAGGTTGTGCCAGGTCCATAGGAAGAGCTCATTCACTCCATCACCAGAAGGAGAGAAGCCAACCTGCTCCCAGTGCAACTCCAGGATGAGATGTGGGAGTCCCTGGGAAGAGAAGACCCTGATGCTTGGACAGACACACAAGTGGCCATTCCCAGTCAGCAGCATCCCCCTGGGCTCAGCTCCCTCCTGCTCCAGAACATACAAAGCCACCTGAATTTTGGGATTTCAGCAGAAGGGAACCCACAACAGACAGGAAAATCCACAGCAACAGCTACAACCATCTCCAGCCTGGGTGAAAACACCCACCCTGGGCCCAACTGCTGCCCAATATGGTGGTTAGCAGACAGGACAGAAGCCTTGGAAAGCCAGTGTCTTGCTGCAGGTGGCCTTTGACTTCAAACCTGCTCTCACCAACTTAATGATCCAAGTTAATTTTAATTCCTCCTCAGTGCTTTGAGTGCTCCTTCCACACACTGGAAGTTTAACAGCGCCTGTGAATGTACCTCACAAGAAGAGAAGGGCTGCGAGGCCATGGGGTGGTTTTTAAACCAAACTCCATGCCCCTGCACTACACTAAAGTCATTGTGTTGAAAAGGTGGGTCAGAAATCCCTTTGACATGACATTTTGGAAGCAGGTGAGGCTGTAAGACCACAGTGGGCTGCCAGGCTGGGCTGTGGAGCCTGGGTGCTGCTAGCCTGGCACAGGAGGGCCTCATACATCCCCGTGACATGCAAAGGGAGCAAGCACCAAAAGCCTGATCCAGGCACTGGTGAATGGCACCCATAGTCAAGGCTGCAGTGAACAGAGCAGCACCTCGCTGCCCTTCTCCGTGTGGAGCTTCCTACACATCCTTCCTACACCACGGGTACTGGTGGCACTGGGGAAGAGGCAATCATATCCCTATTACAGCCCAGTGCAGGGAAAGAAGGAAAAGGAAGAGAGAAACATTATCACTTATGCAATCTACAGAGAACAGATCAAGGTCTATATACACAGCCAGGAAAATCCAACTGGGAAGACGAAACAGCACTTGCATCCATTCTGGTGTGGCAGGGAGAGCATTGGCATATGGGCAGAGTGAGAGGGGAACAGCCTGCACAACAGCTTCTCTTTAAATTAAAAGCAACACAGACACATGAGCACTTCACAGCTCAGGCCATGGCTCACCCCAAGGTCATGAGCAGGCACTCTCTTCTCATTCAATTTAAACCCCCACAACAACCCCCCAAAACCCCCACAACAGGTCCCTGGCTTTGACCTGGGGGGTTAGAAAATAAAGCAACGCTTCTTGCTTTCAAAAAAGAACCCCTGTTCTCGTCCAGACGTGGGGTTATTCCCCTCTTCCAGCCAGAAGAGGCCATTGCTCTCTCCAAAACCACCCAGATCCACATGAGTGGTTTTGTTTCAGACACATCTCAACTGCTTTTGTCCTCAGGAAGACTCCAGTGCAACGAGCCCACCACAAACACCACTGTGGGGAGCTCCACCTGCACAGTGGTTGCTGGTTGGGTTTCTTCAAGCCATTGGTTTTCCTCTCTGTTAACTAAAAGGATCAGCCCAGAACATGCAACAGCAATTTCAGCACTTTCTGAATGTGCTCCCTCCATGATGGAGCCTCAAGTCTCCTCCAAAGCTGAGCTCCCCAAAATGGATTAGAAGGCAGATGTCAAGCATGCCTAAACCAAAGCAAAACTCAAGCTGGAATGACTGTATCGAGTCACAGCACCCCTGGAGAGCACAAGGAAAGAAACAGTTCTCCAGGTTCTTTCTCTAAGGGGGGTGCCAGGCAACAAGCCTGGAATCCAGCCCCCATGCATGAGTGATGTTGAACTGGTCTGGCTGGCTCCTACCTCCACCGATGGCATCCAAGGACAGCAGGACTCAGAGCAGCACATTAAAGTTGTTCCTACAGAGGCAAAGATGGTCTGGTCTCTCCCAGGAGGGGACAACGCAGCAGCTGGTCCCATCTCAGAGGTCCATGTCACACGTGGTTTCTCCAGTACACAACATGAGGGTTGGAAGATGCAGGTTTAACATTTCTCTTGTACCCTTTTATGAAGGATGAATCCATAAACCTTTGGCAGTTCCCTCCCCTCCCCAACCCTACCCCAAATACTGCCCAGCATGTTCACAAGCACGTATTTAATGATCATCTCTTGGGTCCGTCCTCCAGGCCCAATGGCACTCCCTCCCCTTCTGGTGAATCACTTGGGGGTCCATGCACACCAAGGTAGTGGTTTCATCCTGGTATGGCAGCCTGCAGTCTCCTCGGTCTCAGCACAAGGGTTTATCGTATCCTGGTGAAGAGGTTGAGAACGGATACTGACTCCTGAGAAGAGAAGACGAGGCAGGGGCTAAGTACTGCAGCACTACTCCATCTGCCCTTTGGGGTCTGCATTGAAACAACTGCTAGTCTGTGAGCTCCCCAGAATGGTGCTGTGTGCAGCACCCCTGTAGCAGCCAGGAGAAGGATGTCCTGTCCCACTGCCTTGGGCACACAGAGGCAACCTTCATATCTCTGCAAAGTTTAACCCTTCACTGCATCCAGCCCTCAATCTGCAGGATCTGGTGACAAGATCAGAAGCAAGGCAGTGGAAAAGAGCAAGCTTGGACTCACTTGACCCCCCAGGGCAGAACAGAGCTGCAGCCATGCAAACAACACACACATCTTTACCTTTGTTGAGCGAGTTTTGCTGAAGACATTCCAGAAACGCAGGGTTTCGTCTCCAGCTCCTGTGACTATGGCCTCCCCATCAGGGGACATTGCCTAAGGCCAAGAGAGAGCAACCTTTAGCATCTCTTTCATTTCTGAGGTTGAAAACGAATCTTCATTGGAATGAAAGAGAGATTTAACTCTCCTTCCTACTTGGTGAGAAACCAAGCAGCTACCTCTGCTTTCGTGTGCAGCGTTCAGTCTCAGTAGGTGCCAATTCAAGCACTTGCATATTATTTACGCAGCTATGGAACACATGGGTAGAATTATCATAAAAAGGATTATTGTATTAGGAACTCCAACCCATTTGTAATTGAGGCAACTCCTCCCCACACTATAAATATGTGTTAAGGCAGGAAGTGTGATAGGGCTGGCATTTGCCAGCTCTATTAGTCACTTTGGTTGGAATCCACTTCACAAAACAGTATTTGCCTATTTATCATCTCCGTTATGAATCCACCACTGAAAGCCCTGTGTAGCAGTAACAAAGCAGGTATGCGATCGATGGGGATTAACTACACCAAGCATTTTAATGGCAAATTAGGAAGACTGAAAGCATCAAATTCTTCCCCTGCTGGCAGTCACCAGTGAAAAAGCGTTCGAGTCTTAAGGGAACAAAAAGAGATGCTTCTGCTTCCTTAGAAATGTTTTGGCAGGCTTTGCTATTCATTAATAAAACCTCACATTTCCATAGCAGCAAATGAAAGGTAACCCTTGCAGGCAA